TTTGAAAAATATTTTAAATAGGAAAAGTAGAGGCATTTCGAAGGCATTTGAAAAACATGTTGCTTTTCAAGATCTGTTGAAATACTGGGAATTTCACCTCAGGTCAGTGTTAATTAATGCAATGTCCTTTATCTTTGATCAATTTTCTGATAGTTTCGATATTTTCAAGAAGTTTCAATGCAATGATGAATCCGTTTCACAAAGGGAAGATAATCCAGTCGTAGCTTCAATCTCTTCAAAAAAAGTTTTATTTTGCCCATGGATCTATACTAAACGTATTCTAACAGCTTCAAAATTACTTAGAAAGGGCTTAAAACAAAAGTTAAATGAAATTCAACGTGCAGAAGTGATTAGGAAAAACCAAGAACTTTAAATTATTTTTCAATCAAGATAGAGTGGCGTGATGACAGGGCATTTTGTATCTTCGGAGCAATAAATAGAAAGACTTTTGCTAGTATATACACATTGTTTAAAATTAAGTTCTCTTGTTTCTTTGATTATAAAAATTTCAGCCATAGAAATCTAAGTGGAAAAATGGCATACGCTCTAAGCAAAATATATGGAGAAACTCCGTTTTCCGTATGATAGTGACACCCTATAGCTTGCTCGTATATACCGGGATATATTCCTCACAATTCTAGGAGAATCGACAGAAAATCGAGCGTCTATATTTTTAAAAAACATCATTCGTTTCCCAGCAATCGACATCACAATTGGTAAAATAAGCTTCGTAATCAGACCTTCCCAGAAGAATCAGCTAATGAGTTTCCAGCGTTTCCCTGTCAGTCGAAGCTCTGACCAAAGGGCAAATCGCCGCCAAATGCAAATAAGAAAGACTCTGTGAGATATTGATAACAGCTTCCTTAATCTGGAAATCCTTCCATTTACGGAGAAAAAGGGAAATAAAGACGTGTGGGAAAAAGAAAAGATGGAAAAAGGGGGACAAACGGAAGAAATCACTTGGACGTGGAGGATATTTTTTTTTATAACACGGCGAAAATCATCATTATGGCGAAAGAAAAGATAAAAAAACCGACGAGGATGGTTCTTCAAATAACCAGCCTATATATGATTCTTCCCTTTGACGATAAGATATAGTCAAAAAACTGGGAACGACGAATACAATACTGTATATATGATGACTCGGATCTTCCCGAAAAATAAATTATAGATAATCAGGACGAGGAGAAGAAGACGATTTCCAGTGCAAGTATCGTTACTGGGGAAAAAAACGGAGGAATTCTGATCATTTCTGAAGACGCGGAAATTTGCATAAAACGCTGTCAAGTTTTATTTTCCTTCCCTTTCTTTTCCCAATGTTACTTTTGGCAAAGAAGAAATTCCGCTTGTTGAACGCTGCTGAACGAACATTGTATTTCGCCGCGAGACTTTGACTGTGTGTGGGGGGGAACTCTGTTTGACCGGGTTGGCTTTTCCTGCGGAAAATTTTACTGCTTTCCTTCGTCCTAGCTCTAGAAAATATTGGGCAAACTTCCGCAAAGGAATCCAAGGCAATGGCAAACTCCCTGCTCACTCAGTTGAAGTCAAATTAATCCAAGCTAACCGCTGAAGTTCTTTTCGTTAATTTGAGAAATACAGCCTGGAGAAAACAAGGGCTGGTATAGACGTTGTTATCAGAAAATATTGGGTCTTTTCTACGTTTTCCGTCCACTGGAATGCCTTTTTTTTCGCATTTAATTCTTCTCGCAAGTTACCTGAATCGTTCATCAAATGCCCTGAGTGAGTCTATTTTATCTCCCCCCCCCCCCTCCCCAACAAATTCATTTGAGTGCGAAAATTGCCAAGGTTAATAGAATCTCGTGGTCACGGTTTGAGATTTTAAAGGTTTCGGCGGCACCATTCCCATGCTTTTGGCTATTCAATTCAACGTGCTGGGAAAAATATGGTGTCTGAGAGGACAGTAAAGTACTGAGTTTCAAAATGTAAATTAAGCTTTTTAATCGGGAAGCTGCAGAAGCATTTCAACTTCAAGAAATCGTGCAAGATGTCAGATGTATCAGGTCACAATTCAGGGTTGGAACAGTTCACTTCCAGTAAAACCAACAACTGGTAAAACGTAGCAGAATGACTTTAATATTACAACAGGACAACAGTGGAGTATTTCAAGGTAATTTTATTCAGAACAGTGTTAATAATGCAATACTGTATAACTAATCCTGTTCAGGCATCACAAAACCTGTAAAAACGCGCTCTCAGCCACGGAACAACTCCTAATACGACTAAAATTAAAATGCAACATAATCTCGTTACAACGACGTCATGAGGATTGGGAAGATTTGATTCCACAGCAGAATGAATTACTGTACAGCGATACTCATGGAAAATGGTGCAGCAAGGACATTTTAGAAATCATTTCTGAGAGATTATTTTAACGAGTATCGTTGCAATGAGATTCCACTACTCGATATAGGATATAAAGTGGAAATAAATAGACTCACCGCCATTTCGTGCGTCGGTTTTGGAACCAGGTCTTGACTTGAGCGTCTGTCATTTTGAGGGTTTTGGCGAGCGAAGCTCTTTCTGCAGAGGCCAGGTACTTTTGCTTGTGGAAACGTTTCTCCAATTCGGCGATTTGCACCCTGGTAAACGAAGTCCTCGGCTTCTTGCGTTTTGGCGGTGTTCGGTTTTGATACGGGTGACCGATCCGCCTTGTCAACGAAAACGGTCCTAGATAAAAAA